CCCTTTGTGCCCTATGCAAGGTCAGGGAGGGTGCCTGGCCTGTCACCTCACCTGCCTGGCTAGGCAGACCAGGACTTGTACTTAAGGGTGCCTGGCCTACCGGACGTCTGGTGGGCTCGCTAGACCAGGACTTTTATGCACAGATTTTGCAGGTGACCCCTGGTGAGGCATGCTGGCAAACTTGCCAGGACTCTTCCCAGGCTCCGTTACAGTAGCTAAAATTCCCCAACCCTCTGAAGTGGCTGAGGATTCCTCAACTACCCTGGATGGCTCCAGGGAACTTAGTCCCTGAAGCCCGCGACCAGTCTTGGATGTGACCTGCGTTGCAGGAGTGCCCCAATAGTCCCCTGTGGCCAAGGTGCCAAAGTTAGGAGTTGCCTCTATGGCAAACCTCTCCTCAGGAGAATTCCTGTCTGGAGCTCTTGCAGATATGCATGACTCCCTGTTTGGTACAATAGCTGAACCATGAGGATGCCCTTGCACCTCCCCTGGGAAATTCCTAGTGACCTGCGTACTTCCCAGGAACAGTGAGGCTGGGTCTCAAAATGTTGACCTGAAGTGTGACGTAGTTCCTAGGCCCACTTTCCCCAAGAGCAGAATCTACAGAGAACTACCACCAGCGCAGTTGATCGATGTGGCGCCACAAGACACGGCCCTCTTCCAAGGTCACTTCATATGATAGAGGTCCAGAAATCTTACAGATGACAGCAGGAACTCAGAGATGTCCAGGATCATAGTTCCTAGCCCAGATCAGATCACCCACCTAAAGTCTTCGAGGAGCCCGTGGCTGTGACACCTGAGAAGACACCTGGTCGGGTGCAGTCTGTCTAACTTCGTGATGAGGCGGCGGCCCCAGCGGAGTTCTGCTGGGCTCTTCCCAGTGTCAGTGCAAGGTGTGGTGTGGTGTGCAAGAAGAAAATCTGCCAGTGCGTTGGAGGATGGATGGAAGGGAGCAGAAGTCGCATGCCAGATCAAGTTGGCCTGAAGAAAAGCCTGGAACACAAAAGAGGTAAATTGAAGGCCATTATCTGAAACCAGGACATCTGGAAGTCCATGCGATGCAAAAATTCTTCTCAATACCTGGATGGTCCTGGCAGTAGTAGTGGAGGAAACAGGAACAACCTCTAGCCACTTAGAATGGCTATCAACAACAACTAGGAGGAATGGCCCCTGAAAGGGCCCAGCATAATCTATATATGCACCCGTGACCATGGGGTTTGAGTTTCCTCTCACCTATGTACTGGGGCCTGAGGCATTTCAGGCCATGACTGTTGGCACAGATGGCACCCATGCACCTGAGCCTCGATAGGTTTATTGAGCCCAGGCCACCAAAGATGGCTGTGCGCAAGCGCTTTCATCCTTACTATACCAGGATGTCCCTCATGAAGAGAGAGCAAGACTCTAGACCTCAATGAGGCTGGGATTACTATCCTGCTACTCCATAACAGGCAACCCTTGCAAGTGGAAAACTCATGCTTCTTGTGCCAGAAGCTTTGGAACTCAGTATCTGGGCACTTGTCAGGCCATCCTGACAACACCCAAGTCAGCACGTGTGTAAGTGTGTGATCAGTGGCAGTTTCTGCAGTCACGTCCCTAGCATTTATGGGAGATTCAGGCAACTCCTGAATGGAAAGAATATTAATGGCAGGAGCAGGGTCTGCCTCTACCTGTTTCAGAGGTAATCTTCTTAGACCATCTGCATGACCCATCTCTTTTCCAGGTTTGTGAACTAGAGTGTAGTCATATGCTGACAGGAAAATGGGCCATTTCAGCATATGAGGAGAAATGATATGTGGTGTCTGTTTGTTAGTGGTAAACAAACCCAACAGAGGCTTATGGTCTGTATACACCGTGAAGTGGCAGCCATATAAGAAATCATGGAATTTCTTCATGCCAGCCACTATGGCCAAGGCTTCTCTGTCAATCTGTGCGTAATTTCGCTCTGCAGATGACAGAGTCCTTGAGTAATAGGCCACAGGGACTTGTGTCCCATCAGCCTTCGGATGGCTAAGTACTGCTCCCACCCCATAAGGAGATGCATCGCATGCAATGCAAACAGGCAATTGCTCATTGAAATGCGCTAAAACAGCATTTGAAGTGAGCAAGGCCTTAACCTCATTGAAACTCCTGTCATGGACTTTGGTCCACTGCCATGGAGCCTGCTTGTGTAAGAGCCTTCGTAACAGCTCTGCCACTGCAGCCTTATGTGGGAGAAATGCATGGTAAAAATTTAAGAGCCCCAAGAAGGTGCTTGCAGCTCACTTTTGGATTTGGGGCTTGGGGCCTGCTGAATAGCTTGCATTTTAGATTCAGCAGGGTGAATGCCTTGAGCATCTATCCTGAATTCAAAGAAGTCAGTGGAAGTGACTCCTATCTTGCATTTATCCTGCTTTAATTTAAGGCCTGCTTTTCGAAAATGAAGCAAGACAGCCCTTAATCTTTCTGCTAAATTTTAAGATGACTCCCCAGCAATGAGGACGTCATCGAAGTAGGGACAGACCACAGAAATACCTCAAAGTGTGCTCTCCATGACACTTTGGAATATGCAGGGGCTACATTTACCCCAAATTGCAGTCTTTTGACCTTGGAGGCCCCCTTGTGAGTTACAATAGTCTGGGCCTCTACAGATGCCTCATCAACAGGTAGCTGTTGATAGGCCTGTGCCAGGTCAAGTTTCGCAAAAATGCACCCCCCCTTGAGGGAGGCCAGAATGTGGCTTACAACAGGCACTGGATAAGTGTGCTGTTGCAACGCTTTATTCAGTGTGCACTTATAGTATGCACATATACAGATTTCCCCATTAGACTTTAGAGGTGTCACTATGGGGGTTTACCATGGACTAGAATCCACAGGTTCTAAAATGCCCTGCTGGAGCAATTTGTCCAGCTCAGCATCTATCTTTCCCTTCAGGGCAAAAGGTACCCTCCTAGGCTTGACCCGAATGGGCGTGATGGTTGGGTCTAATCGTAGTGCAATGGGAGGCCCCTTGTAGGATCCTAGTTCTGAACTAAACACATCTGCAAACTCCTTGCAAACCTCTGCAAGTCCCAGCGTTTGCAAGTTGAGCAGCCCAGTTACTTGGATTCCCAGGGCCTCGAACCAATCGAGTCCAATAAGACTCGTACATTCACCCCCAACGACCACCACATCCAGGAAACATTCAAAATCCTTACGTTGTACCTTGAGTGTGACCTCCCCCTTCACACAGACCTTAGAATTTTGAAAATCAGTGAGTGTTAGGTTTGATGGCCTGAGTTTAACTCGAAGGCCACTACTGCTGCAAATTCTTTTGAAGGTGTTAATTGAAATAATTGAAAGAGCGGACCCTGTGTCCAACTCCATCCATAAGGGAACTCCTTGCAACCTCACGTTAATGTGAAGTTTCTTTTTAAAGGGCTTGTGTGTCCCTGTCCTTAGAATACTCCTGCGCGATGCACAGAAGCCCACCCTGTTTTGGCTGGGGACCCTAGTACCTTTCAGACGCAATTCTTCATGAGGCTGGACCTTCTGGTGACCCAAACAGATGGAGGCAATGTGGCTTTGCCTGCCACATGCCCTGCAAATGGGGGAGCGGAACCTGCAGTCAGCTCGCCTGTGGTGTCCTCTGCACCCAAAGCACTGAAGAGATGCTGGGGCCTTGTTTGGATGCCCCTTTGGCCTCCTGTCAGCTGGCTGGTGAAGTCTGTCCACCTCCTCTTCAGGATCCACTTCTGATTCTTGTTGAGCGTCCTCTTGATCGATGGTAGCTGTGGCTGGAGGGTTCCTGGCAAGCCGCAAAGCCTTCACAGCCCCGCCTGCTGCTTCCTCAGCTGCCACCTCTCATAATGCATCTTGAAAGGAGACATCTTTTGCAAAAAATCTTCTGTTGTAAGTCTCTGCTTCTTAAGCCACATACGAAGCGATCTCGCAGCTTCTCTTCCAGATCCTTGAATTCACAAGGCTTGGCTACTTGTCTTACGGCAGCAGTAAAGTCTGCAACAGATTCACCTGGTCTCTGGTCTCTCTGCTCGAATGCGTGCCTCCAAGCAATGATGGATAACTTCGGCTGGAAGTGTTCCTTCAACATCTTTTTCAAGTCAGCATATGTTACCGACTCCAGAGGTGCAGTGGCCACCAGATTTTCTGCTATGTCAAAAGCTTCTTGTCCACAGGCACACAAAAGAGTTGCTGCCTTCAGGCCATCTTCTCTTATCTGATTTACTCTAAAGTAGTTCTCCACCCGTGCTATGTAAAAATTCCATCTCTCTGGGTGGGAGACATCAAAATCAGTCAAGCGGCCAATCTTCGACATCATAACATTTACGACCTTCACCAATTGCCTCTTCTGCAAGCTGATGTTTGGGAAAGAGTCCTTTAGCTGAGCTCACCCCCAGCGACGCTGTACTGGCAGGCTGAGACGCTGATGCAGATGCCGTCTTCCCCCTCGTCAGGCTTCCTGGATGAGTCCTTAAATCTTTTTCTTAAGTTTGCAGAAGATCCCACCTTCGTCACCAGTGTTGTGTTCTTGGTTCACGTGCAAGTGATGAAGACACATGGGGACAAGTAACAAACACTTTATTCTCTTTCTCCAACTCCAAGCAAAGGAACAAAAGGCATAGGGTCAGAGACCCAGACAGTGTTAACCAATAAGAATTTAGCCTGTTTGTGCTTTGTGCATGTGCACAAGGCTGGTGCCGCTCTGTCTGGTCCTAGGCAGCTTTTGGAATGCCCGGGACCAGATGCAACATTTCTGGGCCTACTGAGTTTCCTCATCAGGCCCAGGACACAACAGAAACAATCTGCATTTTAAATCAAATTCAAATGTTGTAAATTTCAATATCCACTGGGTTTTTTTTTTTCAACAACTGACCGAAAGAGTCGCTGTCACTTTAAGGAAGAACTGGAACAGATCCCAATCAGGGAAACAGATGTGACCGGTTTGCTTGCGCAACTTGATTAAGGGAACGGGGAGGAGCGGACTATATTTAAAGCAAAACATTGAGGGAGTCAAGCTGCTTTGCTGTAGGGAGGGCTTCTCTTCTTACTCCAGCAACGATGCTGCTTCTCATCTTCCAACAATGCATAAAATTCCTCACCCTGCCCATCCATGTGCTTGCCTATTTTGGATTATGGGACCCTATTTGTAAAAAAATATTCCCATTTTTCATGCTGGCATTGAGCAAAATCTACAATATAAGAATGCATAAGAAAAAGGAGACGCTGTTCAAAAACCTGCGGGACTTCGCTGACGACTCGGGAAAGCTCCACCTGCTGGAGATCGGCGTGGGCCCCGGCACCAATTTTCGGTTTTATCCACCAAACTCACGCGTTACCTGCGTGGACTACAATCCCAACTTTAGAAACTTCCTCCTGAAGAGCATGGCTCAGAATACGCACCTGCAGTTCGAGAATTTTGTGGTCGGCTCTGCCGAGAACATGTCTTCAGTACCAGACGGCTCTGTGGACGTGGTGGTTAGCACGCTGGTGCTTTGCTCTGTCAAGAATACCCAGGCTGTGCTGAAGGAGGTTCTGCGAGTGCTCAGACCGGTAAGTCGAAGGGCAAGGAGAGAAATTCAGTCTGGTCTTTCCAGACCACCGAATAATGAGCACTAGGCTGTGCATGCTTTGAAAATAATGGGGAGCTTTAGATCCCCCAAAACAGCACCTCTCCGTTGCGCTTTGTGCTGATTCTCAGGCTTAACGTAAATGGGATTCCTTCTTAAAGCAACTGCACCTTTCCCGCCTGCCTGTGTTTCTGAATCATTTTCAGACGGTGTACAACTTTAATGAATATATGCACAACTTTAATGTTAGTAAATGGCAGCAAGCCTCTTGCCTGAGAGAGGAGCCTGCTTGGTACTTCAGTGGCAGATCTCCAGAAAATACTAGGTTGAAGCTAAACTGGAAAGTTAAAACAACTTTCTGAGCAATGACAAGCCACTTTTGAATTGTTTCCAAAAATACCCCCCCCCCAACGGGGAAGTCTGCATGAAATCACCAGGCATCAAGTTTGATTTGGAGGAGACTTGAGTAGGAACCCGAATAGATCAAGCTAACATGGTAGCAGGAGGACAAAGAGGCTTACATGAGGAAAACATAGGGAAAAGAACATTATGTTGTTACAGCACAGCTATGTCTGCTGGGGCACAAACTACTTTGGGAGTTTTTTGGCTAGTGTTTCATTCTGCGGAAGCCTCTGTTTCTTAAGTAAATAAACTAAAGGTTGCTCTTCACCTTTAAATAAAAGTTTAAAATGGTGCCCCAAATCAGCCATTTCCCTGCAGAATTTCAAAGCTATGTTCGTGTAGTGATAAGAAGCACAAAGAGAGTCCAGTGGCTTTTGGATACTATATACTGTATATATATATATACATATTTGTTTTCTGAGGTTTTCGCGGGTATTTGTATGTAGGTCTTTGGTTGTTCGGGTTTTCTCCCGCGTAAAATTGGAAGTGCGTTGCCAAGACACTTCCAATTTTACGCGGGAGAAAACCCGAACAACCAAAGACCTACATATATATATATATATATATATATATATATATATATATATATATATATATATATATATTGATATATTGATATTGTATGCAATTTGAGAAATAATCTACGTGTTTGCCGTACAGAGAAAATTAGCAGCCATTTCCATGGGTGGAATAGTTACTCTGTGCTGCCCTCTGTAATCAAATAAAAATCACCAGTAAAGCCAATGTAATCTTCCATATAGGAAATGTAGGGTTGTTCCTGGAACGTGACTAACATTTAGATGTTATTCTTCACAGGCTATTTGTCCAACTAGCTAGTTTGTCTCCAAAGAAACATAGTGTTTATTAAACTTTATTGTTGTGTTTATAGCTATGTTCATCTAATTTTTGTTTTTTACATTTTATTGAATTATAGAATAAAATACAAAATATAAAGCAAATAGTAGGACACCATGGGGAGAGAAAGAGGAAAGGGAAGGGAGGGAGAGAAGGGAGGAAAAAAGTAATTGACTTCCGACTTCCTCTATTGCAGTAGAATAAAGCATTAATATCAAACCTCACCTTTTTACTTTTTCATAATAGTATAAACTACCCATTTCTGTAACAACAGACAGTAAGGTTTGGTGCTCCAAACCTCAGATTGAATTTGGCTTCTCTTATGAAACTACTCAGGCAAGCTTGTATTTCCACAGACTATTTAGATTTTGAAGTATGTTCCTTTCTTTGTTATCCACTTGGCCTTGAGTAAATTACAGTTCTAATCTAGCAACTGTGTGTAAGTTGAAACCTGAAAGAGGACTGCTTGTTCCATACACAAACGTTTCCTTCCAGAGAGAGTGAAAAACTTTTGAAACTACTTGCAGCCAGAGGCTGCTCAAGGAGTGTCTGTCTCTGTGTTGTCACTTGCTCTGGGACTTGCCACAAACGTCAGAGCATTTGGGGAACAATTGGAGCAATAAAGGGGCAGTTGGAACTGTCAGCTGACTATGTTGCCTCTGTGCTGTGCCCTGGATCCTCACAATTATCCTTCTACCATTTCTGCTTGTCAAGATACGAGACTTATTTTATTCTCCCCATCATTCCTTTGAAATTTTGGTGACTGCATCTTAAAAGGATATTATAAAGTGAGGAAGAAGCAGTGAAGGGCAAATAAAATGAACCACTCCCTTAAAAAGACAAGCTCCAACATTTGATACTTTTTAGTATAGAAGAAAAGGAAAACAGTTCAGCAATTAAACTTGTGAATCTGTAGTTATTAGAAAGGGATTTATCTTTTCTCATAATAATGGTATCTAGAGCAAATGCAGCCTCACTGGATATTTGTGATAAAATAGCCCTTTTATATTGGAAAGAATTGAGATAACAAATGAGTTAGGAGACTGTTATCCAAATATAAGTTGTTACTGTACATACATTACAGCTTGTTTGTCCTTTAATAGGACTTGTTTGAATTTCGGGTCAAGTGTATCTCTTTATTCATTTAGCAATAGATAAATCAGCTTCCTTCATCGTATCTTGATGTATTGAGTTCTAGTCCCGTCTTGGCCATGAAAGCCACCTGGGTGACTTTGGGCCAGTCATTCTCCTCGGCCAATTCCCCTCACACAATTGTTGTTGTGGTGAACATAGGAGGAGGAAAGTGTGCTGGATGTGCTCTCCGCCTTGAGTTATTTGTAAATATAATAAAGCAAGGATATAAATAAAAGAATAAATTATTAAAATTTTGAGTTTGATATGCGGAAATATATTGAACTGGTTCACCTACTTTGTCACCGTCCTTAAATAAAAAAGGTCAATTCTGCAGTTTTCTTAGAACTTGAATTTCCTGTAAATCATTAATGGCTAAATTGTATTCCAATTTCATTTTGTCTCTTTACTTAATTATTGCTTCAGATCCCCAGGAAGTTATATAACAACAATTTTGATTACAGTGTGATTTTTTTTTATGTAATATCAAAGTGTTCTGCTTCAAATTCTTTCTTTTTTGTATTATTTTACTTTTTCCAGGGTGGTGTATACTGTTTCATGGAACATATAGCAGCTGACAGATCAACCTGGACCTACTTCTGGCAACAAGTCTGTAACCCTACCTGGAAATATGGGGGAGATGGGTGCTCCTTGTTAAGAGAGCCCTGGAAAGATTTGGAGAATGCGGAGTTTTCTAAACTGAACTTGCAACACTTCATAGCCCCAATATTCCTAAGTGTGATTTGTCCCCATATTTATGGATACGGTGTGAAGTAATTGTTCAATCTGGAAAAAAGCGTCTTTCAGATTTCTGAGTTTAAGGAATTAACACTAACAATACATATACTGCTATAAGAAAAGGGTTTCCTCTATTTATATGATTCAGAATGGAGAAAGGTTCCTAAAAGTTCAGGCTGCACTAAGCCTAAATGGTACCTTGGATCAGGTTTGGAGGGAGGGCAAATAATAAAGATAAAAATTAATATAAAAGAAAAAATCAATCCAAAGACTATTTGGGGGGGGTCAAACTCGCCGCGTCACGTGACATGCAACGACATTTTCCCCCTTGCCGGAGCTGGGGTAGGCACAGCTTCCATGTGACACATCCGGCCCGTGGGCTGGCAGTTTGATACCTCTGCTCTAACTTAAGCAGAAGTGGAGGAGAGACTCTTGCTTAAATAGTACTTCAGGCAGAAGCTTTGATGGCCTTTAGGCAGTGGTGGGATTCAGCCAGTTCAGCAGAACAGGTAGTTAATTGTTTGTTGCCCAGGCCGAGAATGGACTGCCGGAAGTGGCATCCACACAGTGAAGCGGTTGTTCACATATTTGAATCCCACCACTGGGTAGAAGGTTACAATAACATCATTCCTGAAGATCTCTCTTACCTTTCTCAGCTTCTTACTGCCTATACTTGTAGAGTGGATAAAACTGCATATATTGACATGGAATTAGACTGAAAGCTAAGGCTTAGCATTTAGAAACTGATAATGTTGTATCAAAGCTTGCTAACTGCTGAATTATGTATTATTTCCTAGTTTTACTTATCATGCTTTTCATTTTCAATAAAAACAGGGTTTGGGTTTTTTTTTCCCTCTGGTGAACCTTGTCTCACGACTTTTTCTGAGTATGGGCAAATGCAAATATTGGATCCCCTGGTTCTGGGGTATATTGTGAATTGTGTAACTGATCCATGGAAAAGCCTAGCCATAAATAATCACTTTAAGTGGGGACTGAGAAGAGATGTGTTGTTAAACTTTAACCTGATATTTACATGTTTGTAGAAACATTTTTGGAAAATAATTTGGCTCATTTGTTCAGCTCCACCCCATCGCATTTCTATCTGTCATTTACAAAAGGTCCCAGATCAGCAGGGACTCACTTTGTGGCCAATTAACGAAAAGTAGTGGTGCAGCACAGAGAATCTTCCCTGTTGATGCCCCCTGGGAGATTCCAGAATTCCAAAATCACAGATTTATATGCCCTCAGCCTAGTGCTTTTTTTCATTTTTTAAATTAATTACAGTCAAAGACTTATACAGAAAAAAACAAACTGTTTAGAAATAAACACAAGGTAAAAGAATGAACAGAATATTACAGATAGCCCTTGACTTAGGACCCGTAACTTAGCAACCCTTCAAAATTATGACTGACCTGAAAAATAATAATAGTAATAGTAATAAAAAATTGGAAGGAACCTTGGAGGTCATCTAGTCCAACCCCCTGCTCAGGCAGGAAACTCTATACCAGTGATGGCGAATCTTTTAGAGACCAAGTGCCCAAACTGAACCCCAAAACCCACTTATGTATTGTTGTGTGCTGGGTGGGCATGGCCCATTGGGTGGGTGTGGCCCATTGGGTGGGTGTGACCCATTGGGTGGGCGTGGCTGCGGTGGTAACAGCAGACTTGGTGGAACTAAAAAGTTCAATCAATCAATTCCAACTTTGCGAGATCTTTTTTTTTCCTGCGAGAAGTTGAAATTGATTGATTGAACTTTTTTTTTTTTTTTTTGCACACGGCAGCGGAGGCCTAATGCGAAAAGGTTTTATAAAACCCAGCTGAAGGCCTAGACCTGGGGCGACGGCACACGTGCCCAGAGAGGGCTCTGAGTGCCGCCAGTGACATGCGTGCCATAGGTTCGCCACCACGGGTAAAGGGTCTCCTGCTTGAGCAGAGGGTTTGAGTAGAAGACCTCCAAAGTCCCTTCCAACTATTATTTTATTAAATCACTTATTAATATTTTGTTCCTTTCTAGGCTTTAATTTGTGTTTTAAAGGGGAATACTTGTAGCTCAGGGTTGAATTGAGGGAATCCTTGGTGCTCTCTGAGCTTGGTTGTTTTCTTGCAGACGTTTCATTACCCAAATTAGTGCTAACATCACTAATATCATCAGTGCTAGGTAGGCACTGATGATGCCACCTAGTTTGGGTAATGAAACATCTGCAAGAAAACAACCAAGCTCAGAGAGCACCAAGGATCCCTCAGTTCAACCCTGGACCCCACATTCTATTTTACATTAAAAAAAATTAATTGCTAATTTCTGCTTGTTTAAAATTGAAATGCTTGTATAAAATTGTCACTTTCAAAAAGAGAAATATTTGAGTTATCACTGAAACATGGAAAATGGATCACCAAAGAGACTGTTTGTAAATAAGGAGTACTGCAAAGGTTGATTCTGAGTCTTTGCTCAATACAGTACTTGAACTGCAGATACCATAGGATTTGGGGGCTAATCTTTCCTCTGAGTTAGAGAGGAACTCTACCCATGAAAACCTCTTCTACTTCTCCTCAACTGGTTCTCTCTGATGCTGAGAGGTCATTCACATGTTAGGAATGACCTGCAGAATTCTGGATTCAGTAGATCACCTTCTTTAAGCTACCTAATAGCAAAAGCCTCCAGCTATATTATAGTATATTGCAGAATAAAAATAGCAGTTACACGAGGCAATGAAAGGCAGGATAGATGAAAATGCATCACTTAGTGATGATCACAGGAAGTGGTTAACCAGGTGAACCAGGCTCCAAATGGTGGCAATCTTTAAAGATCAAAACGCTGGGCCCCCAAATGGGATGAGAACTTACACAAAGATAAATACCAGCACACATATTATCACCCAGGTCTAGTTAGCAATTAAGCTGTCGTATTCTGTACCAAGTGGGTAGTTTTCTAAAAAGGCATCACGTGCTGTAGTTGCAGCTGCCTGAATGCCAAAGAACTGTGCAATGAAAAACATATAACCCAGTGACACTATGCAGCAGGTCTAAATTCTAGGGCAGTATTGCAGTTGTTCTATACTTAGTTCATTAGTTTCGCCCTCAGTTCTCCCATCTGTAAAATGGCTGAAATAGTAGAAGTATTTCCTTGTGAGGACTCGGTTTATAAAGGGTTCAAATCTCAAACCATGACAGCCCTGATTAAGAGGGTTGCATCCTAAGGTCAGATTGAAGCCCAGCAGCTTCTCTGCACAATGATAAATGAGGATTTGGGTGTTGCATCGCATCTACCATGTGTCTGCCTGCTCAGCATTTGTCAGCCAGAGTTCCCTAAAGCTGAGTTGAGAAAATGAAGTTTGAAAATCCCATGAGATACTGCCTAACCTACAAGGTGTCCTATTATTTTTATATAATACCATGACCTAGCATTTTCAGGCTTCTGCTGAGAGACCCAAGCCTTTTAGTGCAGGAGATGGGCCTCATAAAGAAGATTGCTTAAAGAAAAAAAAAATGCTTTGGATACGTTTCAGTGGATCAGTCTAAGGCAGGGGATGGGAATCTTGTCCCTTTTATGACTTGCTGGCTCAGGAATTCTGGGAATTGAAGTCCACAAGTCATAAAGGGTACAAGATTCCCCGCTGCTGGTCTAAGGGATAGGAGCTCTCCGGGTTTTCTTTATGTAAATGCCATCAGTCCCAGACCTAATGGCCAGTTACAATGACTGGAAGTTGTAGTCCCAAATAGCACTGGGTGACCTTTCCTTAGACAAATCAAGGGGTGAGGGTGTTTGTTCAGATTTTTAAAACAGGACAACCACAATTGGAACCAGACTTTCCATTACTAAGCAAGTGATTGTTAAGTGTGTTGTGCCTGATTTTACCTTTTTGCAACGATTATTAAGCAGTTGCTGAGGGAATCACATGGACCTTAAGAAAAACGCGGCTTCCCCTACTGACTTTGCTCATCAGAAGCCCCCTGGGAAAGTCACAAAGGGTGATCACGTGAGCCCAGGATGCTGCAACCATTATAAATATTGGTTGCCAAATATCAGACTTTTGATCAACTGACCACGTGGATGTTGCAACAGTCTTAAGCGTGAGGACCAATTATAAGTCACTTCTTTTCAATGCATGATTGCACAATCTGTAGAAAGAACAGAACATAATTAATAAATAACCCAGAGCACTCAAATCAGGCAGACTATAAATCAAATAGTTTATCATTAGTTTAACATAGTGTTTCTCATCCACAACCACTTTAAGATGTGTAGACTTCAACTCCCAGAATTCTCCAGCCAGGCTAGGTTGTTTCAAAAGAATTTAGATTCAGAAGGGCACATGCCTATTTTTTTAAAAAAATATTTTTATTAAAACTTTGAAACAAGTCGATAAAAAATTAACAAAACTAGTATGTAGTAAGCAGAAACAAATCAAACAAGAAGTAAAAACTGTAAGAAAAGAAAAAAATTAAGAAAAATAGAAAAAAATAGAAGTGGCTTCCAATATTCTTCACAGCAGTTATAAGTACAAATATACTTTACCCTATCTCTCTAAAGTTACATCGTATTGCTCTTCTTTTTCTAATCTAATCTATCTGATTATCAAAACCACAAGTCAAAGTTCATTTTTTTATTTTTTTAGGCAAAAAATCCATAAGAGGCTTCCAGTTAGCAATAAATGTAAATGAGGGAGAGGTGCGCATAGTCAGCCTCATTCTCTCTTCCCACGCGCAAGTCTTGATATCTTGACTTTCCCTAACTCTGATAAATCTCAAAGTCCTGTGGCGATAGCCGAGTGAAGAAGCAGCAGGTGTGGAATCACTGGGAGCTGTGGACGCGGACCTGCACACAGGCGGCTCAGGTCTAATGGTCGCTTCTTGCTGATGAAGCAACAGCTGGATTCGGCGTCTATCTGAGCGACTGAGCAGCCCTCTTTAGGATCACACTGCTCACCTCCATAGTATGAGGAAGGGGCTAGAAAATGTGCCCTAAACATTGTTGCTTCTTTCAAACCCTGTCCAGCCTACCACGGTTGGAGGGGATCCCATCTCATGCAGTCAAAATACAAAATTTAAAACAAAACACAAGGTGTTACCACTTATTATTGGTACATGGAATGTACATACGCTTCAAGACAATCCATTAGCAGATCGCCCAGAAAGAAGAACAGCCCTGGTAGCCAGAGAGCTTGCAAGATTTAACATTGACATTGCAGCCCTGTGTGAAACTCGTCTAGCCAATGAAGGTCAGCTCACAGAAACAGGAGGCGGCTACACATTCTTTTGGTGTGGACGTAGCAGTGACCAACGTCATGAGTCTGGAGTTGGCTTAGCAGTTAAGAACCATCTTGTTTGCCAACTTGCCAGTCTTCCTAAGGGTGTGAAGATCGACTCATGACACTGCATCTCCCATTACTAAGTGGAAAACAAGCCACACTGATCAGTGCCTACGCACCCACAATGACAAATCCAGATGAAGTAAAGGACAAGTTTTATGAAGATCTTGATGCCCTACTTTCATCTGTGAAGCGCACCGATAGGCTGATTTTACTTGGTGATTTCAACGCAAGAGTGGGGTCCAATCACTCTACCTGGGATGGCGTTATTGGTAAAAATGGAATTGGCACGTGTAATAGCAATGGCCTGCTGCTATTGAAGACATGTGCTGCTCATTATCTGGTCATTACTAATACCATCTTTCGCCTACCCACTCGTAAAAAGACGTCCTGGATGCATCCATGCTCCAGACACTGGCATCTCATTTATTATGTCTTTGTGCGGAGGAAAGACATGCAAGATGTAAGAGTAACTAAGGCTATGCCGAGTGCTGACTGCTGGACTGACCACAGACTCATCATTTCCAAGTTAAATATTCACATCAAGCCAAAGAATC